GGGCTCCCCACTTTTCTCTACGGTGGGCGTTAGACTGCACTGGGGAGCAGGTGGTCACAGCGCTGACCTGGAGCCTTCCACCCACCATAACCACAGAGAGCACTCGCAGCCACCCCAGGCATGGTTTGCTTTTCATTTAAGATTTGCCGTGCCCTAGGAGAGGCTCCTAAGCTGTGGCCAGAAGTCAGAGCACGGCCAGATTTCTCCTGTGCAAAATGAACTAAATTCCACTGTCAAGTCTGAACATGAGGAGAGAAGGGCGGCTCTCCAGCTGGCCCCAGCTGTCTGGGCTCAGCAAGGACACCGCGTGTTCCTGCAGCACTCAAGGGCACAGGAAACTCCGGAGTACAAATGTGATCTGCAGAGGGGTAAATGAGCTGACCCACCTGAGGGCTGCGGCCGACAGCGTGGCACTGATCAAGGCCAGCTTGCCTCACACTCAGTTCAAGACTGTCTCCCCTGCAAACAGATCTTTGCAGAAGAGGAGAGCAGGCTGAGGATGAAGCTGTCCGCCTGCTTTTGCGCCTGCCCTGTTTTTGGTATAGCTTTGCTTACTGGGGGCATGATTTTGTTCACCCAGTAAGGTGACAGAATGAAGCGGGCACATCTTGCTAAGCCTAAACCAGATATGAACGAAGGTAGAATATGTCAAGGAAGCAGCTAGTACCACTGCCTTCATCCTTTCAGTCATTATGTGTTAGCTGACACCTGTAAATGCTTTGGGTTGGGGTAGGTCTTTGGACCAGGTTTGGAAGGGCCCTGGACCAGTCTCACAGACCGAGCTAAAGGCAAGAAGAAACCCATTTTTTGGTCAGAGTGATTTCCTGAGTGATCCATTTAAATAGCTTAGTTACTGTATGCCTCAGTTTACCTGTCTGTAAGTAAATGATGATAATTACCATACGGGTGCAGCAAATTAACCTTCCACCCCCACAGGTATCTGCAGCATGTCATTACAGAAACTGCAACTCGTACCTAATATAAGCAAATGTGCGCTTCAGGTACAGCTTGGGAAGTGGCCAGCAGGACCGGTAGACAGTTCACTACAAAATGCTGTTCTAAAAGACGTGTATTAGCTCAGCTGTCGAGAGCTGCATGACAGTTCCAGATGTTCCTGTGTTCACAGGAGGGCTTTTTGTAAGTAGGAGGCCAAAGGGATGGGAACTGACTGGTGGGTGATTGCCTGGAATTCTCTTCTCTAGTCCCGAATTAGGCAAGAGAAGTGGATGGTGAACCAGGACACTTTATTTTCCCTATGTCTGGATCAGGGTAGATGAAATCTATGACTTGGCTATGCCTGGGTTGATGGTCCAGAGAAGATGGCATAGTTGTCATTAGATTTGTTCACCTGTCCTTCCCATAGCATGAAGAGTGAGTGATAATTGAGTAACTTGTCCAAAACAATTACTTGTCCAAGAAGAATAAAATTCTGCAGGAAAGGACAAATGATAAGTCTGCCATAAACAGGGCTTGCCAGCTGTCTGTTTACAGATCAGGGGATATGGATTTTGCTGAATGATCTAAAGGCATTTTTTGCTCATAAGGTAGGAGATGGGACTGGAAGGGGGTCTAGTGCTAATGCTGATTTCAGGAAGCGTGTTCAGAAGCCTGGGTATTTTTGAGTAAGTATATTCCAAGTCTAAACTGTGGTCCTCACATGCACTTCCTTGAATAGTTGCTAAGGATTAAGTTGTTTTGCTTTTCTTTGGTTTTTGTTTGCGTTGGGTTTTTGTTGTTTTATTTTGTTTTCTCCTCTATTGCTCAGAATCAGTAGCTTAACTGGTTTAGAGAAAGCTAGTTTAAATTGTCTTTTGTTATTGCTTGCACCCCAGACTGGCGTTTTTCTCAGTTCGTTGGTTCTGTGTCGGTTTTTTCATAGTACCGCATATTGTTGGTAAAATAAGGAGGCTTTAAAATACAGGAAGTAGAGGTAATGTTGATCTTGAAACACCAGCAATTGAAAGGACCATTCAGGGTTTCCTTCAAAACAAAACCAAGTGGTAAGATAATGCTAACCAGGGCTGTGTGCCCAGGAGAGCATCATAATGAAGCATCCACTGTTATTGTTCAGCTCAGTGTTTGTTCTTCATGTGAACAAAAGGAAGGAAGAACTCTGCTATCAGGCTAGAGAGGAAGGAGTCTTTGTTGCCCTTGGCTACCCTAACTTTAAATGTGAGGAAGCACAGGGCACTGCAACATAACCTTTCTGCAGTATTAGATGGGGGAAAATTGATAGTTCAGGAGGTTAAGGGCGGACACTCTGTTTATCTAAATAATAGGTTTCCCTTGCATGAAAGCCCCAAATCAGGTATGACAGTGCTAGTATTTTATTTAGGTCATGTGAGTCAGAGGTTTTAAGCCCTGGTTCCTCTGCTTTGCTGCTCTTCTGCTGTTCTGTTCCCCCTCTGCATCATTGCTCACAATCAGGAACAGTAAGAGATGCCATTTCCTTATTGAGTATGGCAGGCACGGAGTGTCCTTAATGCAGAGTTCAGTCATGTTGCTGAAGCATCAGGAATGTATCTGCTTGAGACTGAATGAGCCAGGCTTACTGTACTTTTCTGCTCCTGCTCCACCCATAGAGTTGTCTGCTGAAGTGGCAGAATCCCTGCCGTCCCTCTCCCCCTCCTTCAAACCATGAGGCTGACATGCTGTCAGATTAATGAGGAAGTTTATTATGCTTAGAGCCATTGTTTCAGATCTTCAGATGACTCAGGCAGTGACTGTGCCATCAGCTTTGGCTGCCTGTACTCTTACTTTGGTTCATCTGGTCCATGTCCCATCTCTGTAATCAAGGGACATTGGAGAAGCCAATTTTCATCCCATTAGAGGCAATGCCATGTTGTTGAGGTGTTTGGAAAAAAAAAATGGAAAAAGTGTGTGTATTTTGATTCTGGTATAAAGGGTTCTTTTCTTGTATTTGATGCTATGAATTTTCTGGGCCCAGAGTGAAAGAAGTTCACACATATTTACCAGTTTTGTCTTCATATTCATTGTGCACCCACAGATTGACTTCTTAATTCACAGGCTGCCATGATGTGTGTGATATACAAAATGCCACTTCCATACATGTATGGCAGAGTCTATCTCCATAATTCCAAAATCTAAGGAATTTGCTCTCTCCAACCTGTAAGACATGAGTTTTAGAAAACTGCTTGCGAACTTTATAATATAATGTCTGAACAGAATATATGTCTTGTGAAGAGCTGCCAACATTAGTGTAGACAGAGCAAGAATGTTACTTACAGAAAATCATCTTATTTTGTTTAATATAAATGTTCTGAGGACACACTGATTTAACAGAGTGGAAGCATGTGGTAAGAATGCAAAGAGAATTCCATGAATCTACGGAGATGGTAAGTGTGAGGAATGTTCTTTGAAGGGTCAAAGTATGTCAATCACATACAGTGTGGATGAAGGCACGAGAATTAGGGCCAAGGTCAAATCAGATATGCTTCTTGTATGGCAAATACTGTTCTGGAGGTGATCAACTTCTGTGTAAAACCATACTGGATACAGGAAGAAATAAAAACAAATATTCGGTCCTACATTATTGGTATTGTGGCTCTGTAAAACCACAAAGTTCAAGACAGAAAATGGAAAGAAAACTCTGAATGTCCTGGAAAATAAAGTTAAGAAATAAAATGAACTCAGACCACCCATAAGTAGCCTTCTGGAAATAGATTGATCTTTACTTCACATAGTAGATGTGAAAGCACAGTAAAATGCTGGAAACACAGATGGAGCAGTGGAAGGAAGACTGCCCAGACGTAGTTTTATTTCATTACTGGCATCTTAAAGTAAAAACAAGATTACATTTAGCACATCTTAGTCAAGCCCCACAGCAAGTATACTCAGGTTACAAGTACAAATGTTTTGGTTTTGTTTTTTCTAATTGCTAACCCTAGAAATTATTTGTTTTCTAAAAAGCTAAAAAGAGTTCTTTCCTTCTCACATGTAATCATGAGTGGTTTTAACAGAATAAATCGTGTATTCCATGCCAGCTAAAACTGTTGTCTTCAATTATGCCAGTAATGGAGTTCTACGTGTGCAGTTACAGTTTTTATACTTGGGTGTTAAAATAAAACTGAAGAGACACAGAGGAAATAGTATCTGCTTTGGTTTCTGTGTTTGTGGTCCATTTGCTGAACAGAGCTAGCAAGGCTGATTGAGGAGCTGACATCCAGTAGTGTAACTGAAGACAATAGATGAACTTCTGAGTATGGCCAGGGAACAATTATCCTGAATAAAGTAGGTGCTGTTTTGATGCATCTACAGTTAGAGCTGCCTTGTACTGTGAGGGGGCTTCCTCTCCTTCCCAGGGCTAGGTGGCTGGGCGAAACCTCCTGTAGAATGAAACTCCAGGGCAATTCTCTGAAATGCCTCACCTCTTCACGGGCTCCGAAGGGGAAAGCTATTTCTAAATACAATGCAAATCAAAAGGCATCTCTTTGGGGGGTGATTTACTCCTTTACCTTGGGAAGAAGCTTAGTGGAACTCACAGGAGCTCACAGGAAGCTACGCTGGGCCCAGGGAAGGAGACACAATCTTCACATGGCTCCTGGAATTGGGTTTCTCATTTGGGGACTGGACTTGCTAACAGAATAGTTTGCAGTAGGAGACCCAGCTGAAAGCTGCCTGTGGACAGGGAGAAGCTTTTTATGAAAAGAATACTAGTAAAAAGGCTAAACCAGTTACCAGGAGGAAGCTTTTTCAAGTGAACAGATCTGGCAAAAGAAACAAGAATACATAAGGCAGTGTTACTGCAAACCAGTGTTTCTTGAAGGAAAATGGTGTCGTTTCCACAAGCTAGCATGAGGCATATCGGTTACTGTAGGAGGAGTTCAGTGGCATCAGATAGACCAGTGTGGTTGTTTACTGGTAGGGATACATGACAGTATTTACAGTATTCAGGAAGAAGAGAAAGACTAAAGACTTTGCTGTGTTTTATTAACATTCTCTTCCCAACACAAATCACATTGAAGAAGACAACAGATAAATCCTGATTTCACTTTATTAGTAGTTGTTGAGATATGCTTTTATTACGAGAAATGGGAAACAGATTACACCAGCAAACACATCTGGCCTCAGCCTGGCCTTCAAGTCATCCAAAAAGAAGCACGAAATATGGCGTTGTTTACAGCCAGGCACTCACAATCCCACACAGCTGCAGGGGTGAGAGGCAGCCGAATAAACTCTCAAGACAAGCTGACAACAGCTCCACTGCTGGGGTGCCCCTTTTACAGACGAGACAACAACAGATGAAGAAATCTTGAGAGTGACCCAGAGCAGTACTCATTAGTGAATGAAGCACAGGCAGGAAATGGGACAAGATTCCTTTTGTCATAGTTTTTCACCCAGCTGTCCACCCGCCCCACAGCCACCCACATGCAATCAAGTCTAGTCCTAGTCCCAGTCAAACTCCAGAAAAGTTATACAAATAAAACCTCCAGTGATTTCATGCAGACCCCTTCCAAGTTACATTTGCCCCATTAGCAAAGAATGAAAAATCGATGAGTTTAGTACAGGCACGTTTATCACCACAATTGAGATTTATTACAAGGGGTTATATTCAGGTAAAGCTGATTAGGATTGTGTAATTCCTCTTACGTCTGTCTGCCCATCCGTTTCTCTGTATATCCACTGTTTATTATTGATTACTAGCACTTTTACTGTGTCTATTGTATTTCCTTTGTATGGCAAAGCAGAGATTTTTATTTTATGTAGGTATATACTCTCTTGGTGTGTCTAAAACAGACGCATTTGATTTCCAAACTGTCAGCATTTGCACACAAAGCAAAAACATTTCTGGAGCTCTGAAATGGATTCTCTGAGGGATCAAATGTTATTTGGAGATTTTAAAATTATAATAACATAAACACTTCAGTTGCTTGGGATCTTTTGTTTGTAAGTACAACTCACTAAAAATCTTGCTCATGTGTTATTAAAACCCTTTTTTTTTTCTCATGTATTGAAAGTAGATTTTTACCTGTATTTCTCAGCTGGAGTTGAGTAACAGAAGTCTTTTACAGACAACTTTGTAAAGGACTCTCCTTCTTCCAAGTGGCTGCCATTCTCTTCTTTACCAGAACTGTGAGTGCAGTGTGCTGTGAGTAGTTACACTTTATTCCCTTGCTGGTCGTAGTCCCTTCACACTTGACTTCGCTCCTCAGGGGCTGTTTTTGAACAGAGCACTTGTGTATGAGCTGTTCATGAGATTCCTCTGAAAGGAAACTTCTCATGTATCAGCCTCTGAGTTTGAGCATCAAGAAAAAGGAGAGTCAAATTTGTAGCTTACCATAATTGTTTTTAAAATCATGAATTCACCCAGGCTTGAAATAGTGTCCTGTGACACAGTGTCCTGTGACTGTGTAGAGTGTCAGGGTAACATAAAGTAGCCAGAGAATTCAAGTCAGCATTAAAAAAAAAAAAAAGCTCAACCCTTTCCCCCTAAAACGAGAATACTTTGAGATTGGCGATTGGCATTCTCAATTTTCAGATCCATAGTAGTATTGTATCATAGCACTCTAAGAGTTTAAATCTGTTATTTAAGAAAAAGAGCACGTAAGGAAATTAATTTAAGAAATGGCACTGGGAGATCTGCACTTGCAAAAAAAATCCTGCCTGTTCTGAGGTGGAAACTTATGGCACCCACCTCTCCTTTCCTTCTGTGTGACAGGAAGAAAAGAAACAAAGATGTCTATGCAGAGGGGTTTGATACCAGTAATATGAAAAGTGTTTTGACCATATCCATATTAATACTTGTGTGCAGCAGTACTGACAGATTTACTGACAGTCACATACAACTGTGGTCACAAGAAACAACACTAGAAGGAAGTGATTTTCTTCTGTCATTCTTTACCATGCTGGGAAGCCTGTTGTGTTAAAGCTTCTGAGCTGGTGCATCATACCAAAAATAGTTCCCCCGTTTAACTTTTGTAGCAGATTAGTTTACTCTTCTTTTTCAAACTTGTTAAAGCTATTCTAGACCGGGTTTTCTGGACAAAAGGAAAAATAGTTTTGCATTTCATTTGGTATGGTTTCATTTTGTCTTTCACTTATCCTGAGGAGCCCAGAACTGGTTGTTCTAGAGGACAACATAACCACACACCTTTTCTATAGCCTTGTCCCCCACGGTACCTCAGCACTGATCTGAGGCAAGTCTCTTGAAGCTCAGCACCCCTTTTTAGAGCTCCCACTTGAATCAGTCCACATGGGTATCACGGCAGTTTTCCATGCTGATAAATATCCACAAGGAGCCTCTGTAAGAAGACCACCTTGTTCCACCAGATAACAAAGAGATACGAAGCAATTGCTAATCAACATGATTTTAAGTTTAACTGGGGAAGAATGCTGCAAGTTATCAGAACAGTCTTAGAGGCATCTGGTTTGCCACTTTTGGAGCCTTATTACTATCTCCTGCGCTGTCGAGATGGTAATGGTAGCTGTCGGACATTACTGCATCTCCTCTTACCAGTGTGTCTAGGCACGGTGTCACTAGAGCTTTTAGTTGTGTATTTTTCCCCCCACAGCTCTCATTTCTCATCTTTATTTGAATCACAGGCTTGTTCAGCAGGTCAGTTAATGGAGAGCAGATCTTTTACTCATTCTGCTTCTTTTTTTCCCTTTTCCCTCTATTTATATAACACACAATTTGTAATCTTTTTAAAACCAAAGAAGAGAGAACTCTTGAGTTCATCTAGATTAAAATCAGCTGCAGCCTATTAATGGACTCAGCCCAAGACTGAGACTTTAGGAAACAAAAACACTGGACTAAATTAGACTGAACTGGCCTCTGTCTCCTGGTGAGGGGATTCATATAGCGAGAGGAAAGGGGAAAAGGGGGGTAGAGGGAGAGGATCTCCATGTGGTTTTAATTCATTTTGATTCTTTTCCTGAAGCTAATTTACCCAACACAAAGGCTCTGTAGTGGGCAGCCAGCTTTTTAGAAGTTTGGCTTTCACTGATAAACAACTCAATTCCTGTTCTGAAGGTCTGAGATAGCTCAGACCTGTGTGTAATCAACAGAGGTTTAATGTGGATGTTTTGGTACAGGGTATTTCAATTACATATTAGAGTTCTTTCATCATCTGTCAGATTGTATCCCGAAGACTCTGGGATAATTGATCTAACTCCTCCATTCATTCCTCCCCAGAAACAGACAGTGAATTGTCTCATTGAAGAACCGGATCAGCAGAGAGATGGGTCTGTCTCGCCACCAGTACTTCCCCGATGTTGTCAGAAGGCAGTACTTGGCTTGTTCTGGGCATAGGAGACTTTGCCACCGTAGTGGAAACTCTGTTTTCTGCTAAAGGGGAAATACTAGAATGTTCTATTCATCCCCGTTGCTATTAAATCTTTTTTATTGCATTCTTAGCCCCATTGGTGTGCGGGTAGTCCTCTAGCAACATACAAGAAATTATGTCTTTGCCCTAAAAAAGCCAGACGGTGGGTGGGGAAGTGAAGCAAACAGTAAATCATTAGCTGGAAATGACTTGAGTGATTGTTCGGCACAGACAGTCTTTGGTTACAGTTTGCATGTACATAGTGACGATAACTTGTAATCTAAGCAAAGCTAAAAGGCAAATGGGGAGATTAATGGTGGGCTGGAGGAGGGAAGGGAACCATGCCTTGAGAGAGAGGGTTAGCTGAGGCAGGATCTGTGGGTGTATGGTTTTGCAGTACTTCAAGCCCACGTGCAAATACGTGTTACGCTAAATGAGTGTATGTGGGCCATCTATTGCTGACTGGCTAATGAGCCACAACCATCAGCAGCAGTTGTTCGCTGCTTTTTTAAATGTGGCCTATGAATGAGTAATATCAGAGGAAATACAGTTTTAAGGCTGTGGTCAGAAGATACCTGACTTCAGCTGCTAATTGTTACCCAGTTTTGTGTAATGGTGGACAAATGATTTTCTCATGTCCTGTTTTTAATCATCTTTTCTAATTTACAGAGATTGAGATGTTCAGCACCATATGTAGCATGCCGTATTTCTACATTGTTAAAGGCCATGTATACATACGTAGATAATTCTGTTATTGCCCAGTTATCTGGAAAGCCTTGGATTGCCTTCTCTGGGCACAGGTTTCCAAAGTGAAATTTTGCGTTTTCTTGGCTTTCCTGCTTTAAGAGTCAAAGTTTTAAATACTCACATAATACTTTACAGTTTGCTTGACTTAAATAATTTCTCACATCAGTAACAGCTCATCTGGAGACTAGGTTGAGCAGGACCTAGGTTATCTCACAGGATTCTTGTGTAGTCCTTCTTCCTCCTGACCAAATGCTGTACCTCCCCTCAGGACCCAGTAAGGTGCTCTGTAAGGACAGCAGAGATGCTACAGAGCTTTGGGGAATTAGACTGTTTTTTAAGGATAAATCAATGATGTACCAGTGCTGTGAAAGTATTTAATATGAAAGTGAACTACTGGAAATCGTCTTAGCAGTTCCTGCCTGTATTTTTCTTGCCAAAACTTGAGGCATGATATGGCTGGAAAAAAAAATGACCCAAAGCCTTTTGGATACTGTGAGGTGTTCCACTTTCCCTTAGGCCTTCCTCAGACACACTTATAAACAAACTGGCCTAATGTCCTTTTAAGTTACTTTGTTTTGTTCTTTGCTTTTATTCTAACAGTCAGTAAGTCTTACTTGTCTAATGCTTAGTCAGATTGCTTCCTCCTCTCTCTCCAAAGAGTGTTAGATGCTGAGGACTCCAACAGAGGTAGTTAAAGGTCTATTCAGAAACAACTGGAAGTAATTAGCCATCTAGGTCTTGGCCAGTAATAAGGTGTGGTTAAAGGATGAGCTGAAATCCTATCCATCTGCTTAATGGGGTTCAGAGTTTTATTTTAAGGGTTAAGGTTACCTATCAGTAATTTGAGAGAATAAACCCATTTTGGATGGTTTTCTTTAAGAAGAAACCTGTTATTGGTATTCTTTTTAAAAAAAAATACAACTTGATGCTTTTAGTGTTCCACTTGCTTTGAGTGACAGCTAGCAAAATGCCAAAGAAATAACTACAGTAATTTAATGTAGTAAAAAGGGTGTATTTAACATTGGTTTACAGTCAGACACATTAGGATCTTCATATGTTGAAAGGGATACTATAATCATCTGCACCTCAGCTCTCCTAGGCAATTGGTTGGGGTTCATCAGTTCTGCTCCTCTCAGAGCAGAGTTGCAATATTCTTTGCATTAATCTCCACATTTGGGGCATCTGTTCCCGTGATTCCCTTTGTCTTGTGAGGTCCAGACCCTGCTCAGCCTGTGCTTTTTTTTGCAGTCTTTTGTTTTTAGCAATTGTTAAACAAAGAAGTATTTAACTGTTGCCTTATTTAGCTTGAAAGGAAGTGTAGTGTGAGATCTACTAGTTTCAATAGGTCTTAACCCAGCCCATATTGAAAAGCCACAGTCTCTTTCTTCCATTGATTCAAAGCTGAAGAAACCACGTTTGTTCAAACAAAAACCTCTGGGGAGAAGGATGGGTTCAGACGGTCATTTTCAGGGTATCAACCTATGATGGGGAAGTTATTTTTGAGAAACCTGTTTTAGTGCGATTGCAAAGTCAGATGACTTGCTATATTGCTTACTCTGGGGTCACGATGTTGTATTCACAACCATGAAGCTAGAAAGATGCTTTTGAAGAAGAGGTATTTGACAGTACAATATTCAGTTACCGTGAAAAAAAGTTTTACCTTGATATTCTGCCCTCAAACAATTCGATCCTTCTCTGTCGCACAAAATGGGACAGCAGTCAGGTCTTGATCCTGGAGGTTCCCAGGGATGTGACCCAGCAGATGGGATGTGTACCTTTGAGTACCTGCGCTAGGCTAAGCTCTAGTTACCCTTGCGCTAGTCAGGGCCTGCAACACCTTTGCTGACATTTTACCTGTAGAGAGGAAAAAGGTCACAATTTTCCGGTTTTCACCTAAAAGAAAATGTCGAGAGACATCCTGCTTTCGTGTTCTTCTCGTGGTCCTTTAGCTGGCTGCACAAGAGTGTGTGCAGTCACGCACACAGCTCAGTGCCCTTGTGCAAACTTGCCTTTATGTGAGTCGGAGTGAGCTCCATTCCCCTGGTCGGGTGGCTGTTAACAGAACAGGAAGCAGGGCCTGTTGGGAGGATTTATTTTAAGAATCTGTTGTACAATTTTGGTTCCTTTCGGCTGCAGTGTTTGTTGTCGGCATATGGCTGTTCTCTTGGGGATG